ATTTTCCAATAGTCCAAGGAGGTTTTTTGCACTTTTCCCTATGTATATATGTATGTATCTATACTATTATTAAATGTGCAAAAAGTTTAGTATTTCAACATTTTAGTAATTATTTATTTATATAAAAATATATTTATTAATTAATATAAAAATAGTTTTTATAAAAATAATTTCTATAAAACTCGAAAAAAACATTTATGGATAATTATCACAATATAATCGGCCCGGTCCAGTTATGATTATGTAATTATTAGGAGATGACACATGTCATCATCCTATTAATTCAAGAAGCCTATAAATAGAGGCATGGAGGAAGGAGGAAGGGGTACAGAAATTGAAAATTCTAGAATCCAGAATTCCAGAATAAAATACAGAAGCTCGAACGAGTTTTAGTATTTCAGTATTTATTTATTTATATAAAAATATATATTTATTAATTGACACAAAAAGAATTTTTATCTATATTTTTAGGTATATCAATATTTACTTATTTATATAAAAAAATATTTATTAATTGATATGAAAAGAGTTTTTATAAATAAAAAAAATCTATAAAACTCTAAAATCTACCTAATAAAATAATTATTAATTGATATAAAAAGAATAGTAATTTTTATTAATTGATATGAAAATAGTTTTTTTTTTTTTTTTTTTTTTAAAAAAAAAACTCTAAAAAACTCTAAAATCTACCTAATAAAATATTTATTAATTGATATAAAAAGAATAATTATTTTTTATGGAGTTTATATATATATATATATAAAATACTCTATAAAACTCTAAAATCTACCTAATAAAATTTAAAGAAACCTATTTTTTCTATTTATTATTATGAAATTTTTTAATAAAAAAAATCTAATTAGACAGAATTATTAATATAAAAAATATTTTATTATGAGTTTCTTAACAAAATGAAATATAATTAGACAAGGATATATTTAAAAAATAATAATTTCTATAAAATAGTATCACAAATTACCTATTTTATTTTCAATAAAACACTATCACACTAGACAAAGATATATTTAAAGAGGTTTCATAAAATACTAACACAAATTACCTATTTATTATGAATTTTTTAATAAAAGGAAATCTAATTAGACAAGTATTATTAATATAAAAAATTATTTATGTGATAACCCGAATTTTTAAGATTTTAATTTAATTTATTCCATGATTTTTAGTTGTTAAGACTTGAGTATTTAAATTTTTGGAGACTTACCCAATTAAATTATTTTATGGATTTGCATATATATATATATATATATATATATATATATATATATATATTTATTTTACATCTGAAACAGGGGAGCAAGCTACCTGCCGAAATTAGAGAAATAAAAGATTAAGGAAATGGTAATTTGCGCGGGTCCCACTTGATTTATTTAATAGGTTGGGTTGATTTTTGGTAACATATATATATATATATATATATATATATATATATATATATATTATATTTGGCATTTGATGATCCATGAATGGGGCTGCCGAAATTGAAGTTGGAGTAGAAAAAGTGTAGATGAGATAGAAATTGGGGAAAATTATATTTTGGTGACTAGACTTTAAAGTCAACAAAAGGTGAATAGTGACCAATGTTAAAACTTAATTGATCTTAAGTGACCATTTGAGGATAATTTGGTCAAAAACACTTAAATGTTTGATAAACATTTTCAAAATAAATTTTAGATGACAAAATTGCCATCCAATACAAATAATAATTCATTGAATTCATCCTCCTAGTCTCTCTATCTCTAATCCAACGTTTTCTTTTTTCCTTTTTAGTTTGCAATTTACCAATTTAAAAAATTAAGGTTTCTTTATCAATATTATCTATTTTCCACCCTTTATCTATTTTTCAAGGCTCTCTAGCGTAAAAGCAAAAACATTTACACGGGCAAATCAAGAAAACAAGTTTCATCCCAAAATGTTCTTTATAGAATATTTTGGCGGGTCCCTTCTCACTTTGTTGCTTTAATATATCATCTTTTCTGGATGATTCTAAGCTCATGCCTACATACAGGGATATGTTTAGGGCTATAGACAATTTCTATAATAACTTCATATTTGCAAATCATTGATGTGTATACTTTTGAAACACTCATAAACAGTTTGGCAAAATTCTGAAATTAATCAACAATGGTCATTATTTCTTAAACTATAACTCAGTAATATTAAAAGATTCTTAAAAATTACAATCTTATATTTTAAGGAAGATCTCTCAAACAAATCAACTTATAAAGTATAATAACTATCCCTTGAAAATAATGAATAAGAAGAAAATTTACAATTTTCTCGTCTTACCTCTTAGAACCTTGAAGAAAACGATGTAGAACATTTGTGCTCATTTCTCTCCCATCTTGATCTTCTCTTCAGAGACTCACGCTAATAATCTATCGTCTTTTGTTAGTCAATTTAATTAAGTGTTTATTTAAGTTAATGCAGAGGGTAAATTTGTCCACTTACATAATAATATATTATGAGAAGGTTATTTAGATAATAAACCATCAAATGGTCACTTAATATCAATTAAGTTTCAGCATTGGTCACTATTCACCTTTTCTTGACTTTAAGGTCATTATAGAGCAATTATATTTAATTTTGGTCACCAAAATATAATTTTCCTTATAAATTGTAATGCTGATAATGGAAATTAGTGGGGTCCATCACTAGTGTATATATACACGGGTGTATATATAAAAAATAAAAAATGGAAGGATGAAGAATGGGTCTGCTAGAGGAGGTTAGATAGGTAATTTCAATATTGAAATTGGTCCATATAAAAATTAAAGGGTTAATTACAACGACACCCCCTGATGTTTACCTTATTTACAGTCATAAACAAGTTGATCAATTTTTGAACAATGACACCCCTCAGATTTAATAAAATTAACAAAAATACTCCTAATAGTCACTACACATGGTGAGTTGACTTTGCTCCCCTTGAGTATTTGAAATACGGATTTAATTACTTTTTTAATCTTTAAAATTTATTTTTCTTGAACCAAATCACCTTTTTAAATAGGTCAAATTATCCTCACCCTTCGTTCTTGCATTATAATGACACCCCTCACCCTTCATCCGGTGGCATTCTTGTCAAATGACTAAGATACCCTTATTATATAAAATAAAAAATTAACAAAATGCAAAATGATAAAGCTACGCTTCCATTATCTCCGTACGCATCTCTTCTCTCTCCAACATCTACTCTCTCTGTAACTAGAGATTTTTGGTCCTCCACATTGGAAAAAAACAAACCAATTACAGAATTAAACAACCAAGCTTGCTATAGTCCTCACCACCAACATCCTTGCTCACCGGTTCAGCACCAGCATCCTTGCTCACCTCCGGTCAGTCTCGTTGTTGAGATTGTGCATCGCCGCCGCCATTTCAGTTTACTTCGTCACCGGATCAGAGCGCCGCTTCACCGCCTAGCTCATTAGTTCACCATCGGTATTGCGTCGCTAGGCTCGCTTTCTCTTTCTATAGCCCCTGTGATCACCGACAACAGATTTGTCATCCATCGTCATCTACAAGGGTCTGTGCACGTCGTTCCAAGCCCGCCATTCTGAGCTGCTTACACGCCATTCAGGCCTCAAGCCGGTAAGCACCGATAAAAGCATCACCACCGTTCAATTCAGACCCAGTCCTTGCCGTCACCATCATCGGAATAACCACTGTGCTTATCGTAGCCGGAATCGTGACTCTTCCAGTAGCTGTTCGTCGCCACATTCTACTACCACCGCGGCACTGTTGTTCTTTCTCGCTGTTCGTCGCCACATCCTTGCTTATCTGGCATCGTCGGAATAGCGACTCTCACTGTTCTTCGCCACACTCGGCGGCCACAACGTCATTGTCGTTCTTCTTGCTGACCCGTAATAGCATTTCCATTAGCAAACGATTGAGTCATCGACACCAGAAAGAGCCACTTCGTATCGAAAACTTCTTTGTCAACAGCTTCGTTCGGAGAAATAAAGAAGCCGGAGATGAGCGAATTGAGCTCTCGGAGCACCTTTTACCGGTGCTCTTGCTCTGCCGCCGATGAAGACGACGTCGTTTTGCGCTTTGGCCCACTGGCGATTGTTTCACGCGTTAGTTTCTAAAGGAACGGGCTGAGATCGGAGTTATCGAGAGAAACCCAATGTTTGATCTTTTAGGGTTTGTTTGTTAGGGTTTTCCATTCTTATTTGTTTACCTGAAATTGAAAAGATAAGGCATGGAATAAATCTCTCTTTATATGTTCTTGTGCCTTATAGAGATACTTTTTGTATTTGACAAAGACAAAGTTTGTGGTTGCTGTGCTGTGTTTTCACAATCAATCGGGCTGGTTTGGATTCTATCTATACAACCAACATGCTAGCTCTCAGTTTTCACATCAGCTTTTACATCAACAAAAATGTCGGCGATTGCTGTTTTGGGTCTCCACTGGTTTGAACAGAGAAATTTTACAATTAATTTGGGGAAGGTTATGGTATGGATTGGATTGCAATTGGATGTGTGTCTGTACTATATGTGTGTGCATATATATAAGAGAAGAGAACGAATAGAAGAAATAATGGTGGCGGCGGCGGCGGCGACAGAGGAGAGAGAGACATGAGAAAAGAGAGTGCAGATGATTCTCATTATAATTGCTTGACTTCTCTAAAAATTAAAAATAGATGGAATAATTAGGTTAGGCATAATTACCAAGGGCTTTTTTGTCTTTTTATTCTAGGTATATAAGTTATTTTAATACAAAAATAAGGGTTAAAATGTCTTTGCAAATATAGTAAGGGTAAAAGTGGTATCACAGGGTTAAAAATAGCTGATGTCATCAAAAGTCATCATTGACTTTCACCGGAGGGGGTTAAGTGTTACCTTGAAGGAGGACCCTGTAAATTTTTAAACCTAAAGGGTACCACCTATAATTACCCCTAATTTCAGGAGAGGCAAGTGTAATTACGCCTATAATTTTTTTAGTGCAACTCTGGAAAAACCCAAAATCAACCCACAAGTTCAAGATTACTGTCGAGCACTTCTACAGTTTAATAAAACCCCGCAAGGACACACAAATCTCTCTCCGATCACCTGTTCCATAGGGCACTAGCGAGGGCATACTATTATATAAATATATATACACACACAGCCATTATCTTGACTGTATCGAGTCATCGAAACGCACTACACTACACTCCCATTCCCTCCAAATGGTCTCGACCAATCTGAGAGAAGAGACGGGGGAGTTAGCGATGGTTGGTGAGAAGTAGAGAGAGAAGCAAGAGATGGGGGAGAGGGAGAGCTCCGGCTATAAGGATTATTTGGCAGGTTTGCTCGCCGGTGTTGCCACTGTCATCATTGGTCATCCTTTCGATACTGTCAAGGTCTGCTTTTTTTTTTTTTTTTCCACCCATTTCTGTTCTATGTTTAAACACATTCACTTTCTAATTTGTTGTTTTTATATTTATTTACATTGGATTCACTATGTGTATGTGTATATTCAAGATTCAAATTGGGAATCTTGATCCTGCTATACCAATACTAGAAGGGCAAAAACTAAATTTGGGGAGTGAATGTGGGTACTGAATGTGGGAAGTGACTTATATTTATTAGAACGTGTCTTCAAAGTCTTATCATTCACAAGGAAAAAGAAGAGGGAGGAAATAAAAGATGTGAGGAGTGACATTATGGGACGGAGCAAAAGCGATTTCCCAGCTTGTCAATTCATTAAATTAGACAAATATAAATAGAGTGATAAGAGTAGATCAATAGAATATAGATGGTAGAGAGAAGACGCCAAGAACTTGCTGAGAGATGTAACTTTCTTCAATGCTCATTATTGATTGATCATCTCAAAAAAATTTACCCATTTTTCGCTTGCGGGTCATGGATCCTATTTAGTACTCTCTTGCAGTCCGGTATATAAGAGGGCTTAGAGTTTTGGGTGGGATGAGAGAGACACTGGAAATCACAGAATAGAGAGTGAGAGTGAGAGTGAGAGCTAGGGTTTAGGGGCTGAAACTTGTAATATCCTGATTTTGACATAGTAAAATCTTTTGCCGGATCTTCACTGTGGACGTAGGCACAACTTGTGTTGAACCACGCTAAATCTTTGTGTTATTTGTGTGTGGCGTGTTTACTTTTTTGTCGCGTTTTGTGATTTGTTCCTGGTTCCTGCGTTTGTTGTAACAAACTAATATTAGGAACATACTGAATGTTTACTAAAACTTGTAATTCGCTAAAACAAGTTATTCTTGTATCTTTGATTTGTCCATTCCCGTCTGAAACACGACTTCAAAGATAATAAATGTGGTAGTGACCAGCTACAATTGAAGGCCATATGAATGCAACGACTTTTAAGGCACATTTTTTCATCATTTGTATGCATCCTTAATAGACCATTCACTGCTGAGTATTTGGATCGATGCTACAGTCTTCTACTATAACACTACTCGTGAATTGAACTTTATTTTAATTCTTTGAGTAGGCTGGACAAGTAATTGCTCAGTTTTTGGATAGATAGTGCAGCCTTTTATTATAACAGTACTCATGAATTGCACTTTATTTTGATGCCATTAGTATGCCTACAAGCATGTGTAATAAATCTACAATTCTACGGTCATCCATGACAAGGTTAAAAGTCGTTAACCCATTTATGTTTGTATTCTTATGCATGGGCGTGTGATATTTATACTGACTTTAGTTATTTGCGATGATTATATACTTTTGATACTTCATTCTGTCAGACATTCTATTAAGTAGTGAGAAAAAGCTAAATATGAAGAAGTTTGTTCACTTCACGAGCTCAGTGGTGCTTGATGGATCAATGGCAATGATGAAGTAATCTTCTAAGATCTTCTTGGTGTACTTCCGGCCTACAGTTCTTAGCTTCAGGCTCATACATAAAATATTATGTTCGTTTGTACTTAAAAACATCAAATGACCATGGCTGGGCTCTTTTATTAAATCCATATCAAACTGTAATTTTAGATTAATAGATTGAGTTGTTGTTTAGATATGGTTAGGCCTTGTGCTTTGTTGTCACCCCTTTAAATCTGGTTACAATGCTCTCCAACCACATAGCAATTGAATGAAATAATGTAGTTCATCAAGATGAGCACAATATGACATGTTGAAGGTCATTTTTCCATGATGATATAGTAAATTGGTGGTATTATGATAGCAATAATTCTCATTATTGTAACCCAGGTTTTATTTAACTATCTTTGGGACAAGCTTATTCAGTTGTCTTCCTTACCATGGCTGCGCTCTTTTCTTAAATCCATTTTACTCGCTTACTTTAATTTGTATAGTTTTCCTGTACATGACTATTGATAAATCAATGACTCCATGGGCCAATTAATTATACTTGACTCTTTCTTTCCTTGGTCTTCTTCTTTTTTCTTTTTTTTTTTTTTCCCATCAAATCTTTTTACTAGGTGAAGCTACAAAAGCACAATACCGAAGCTCATGGAATAATGTACAAGAATGGTTTGCATTGCACTGCTAGGATACTGAAGACTGAAGGAGTACGCTCCTTCAACTTTTATGACTCCTAACTTCAAGTTCTTATTTTTCATGTATGCACGTCAGATAGCTAGAGAAACAATTATGTGTTTCCTTGTATGCATATGCATATGTATGTGTATTTAGACACCATGATGAAAGTTTTATGTATAGAAGATTATATATAGCATTTAAAAATAATTGTGGATTGTATCTTTCTTAATTCATTGTTATGAGGAGAGTACTGCTGTAAATTATTATTATTAATTTATTATTATTTTTTTATAATAAGAAAAGTGTAAAATGTTGGAAGAGGAAGTGACTTTAGTTGTCTTAATAACAGAGCAGAAGTTATTTATGTTATATATCATTTTGTTATGATGCATTTTCTTTTCCCTCAACAGGTTTTGAACTGACTTAGGTTTAATATAGATCACCTGAGAATTGAAATTTCCCCATGGTACTTTAGAATCAAAAGAGCATAAATTTTATGTTTGTTTGTGTGTATTAATTATTCAATTTGGTCAGTGATGGAACCAAACCCTTAATTTGCCTCTCCCTCCCAATGCCATACCCAACTGTTGTGCTACTATGCTTTGGCATTGGCAAATGACCGTAAATATATATATAGGTAGAAATTGCTTGTTTCAAAATTTGTTTCTTACTCTAGAGATGGAGTTGGCTTAGTGAAAACTTAGGTTCTCTGACAGCCCAAAGTTTTAAAATTTTAGTTCGCTGGAATTTCTTATTGCAAAATTGCAAAAACCTGCAAAAAAGGCCTACATAAACAGAGACCTTCACATAATATAATCTTGTAACTAACCATTTAAAAATATTTTTTCGTGCTAGTTTGTCTTATTATTTGCACACACATTCCCTTTTAATGCTAAATGATGTTCAAGAAGGAAACCTTGAAATGTGAACCTCTGTCTTTCTTTTGGTGGATAATACAGACTATAGAATTTTTTTCATTTACTCCTTTTAAATTCTAAAAAATTTGCAGCTGTCTTAGCTTGAAATCTATGGGTGGGATATTACACAAGTAATAAACAACAATGAAAAAGGCTTTAACTGTTACTTTCAATCAATATTCTTTAGCTGAGAGATGTCAAGACACTGAAAAAGCAACCTATGAACAGTAGATCCTAAAGATCATCTCCTTTCGATCTTATAAAACAATTCATATGTCTATCATGCACATACTAGAAAACCTCTTATTTGTCATTAATTCAATTGGTGCAATGACATTGTAGTTTTTCTTTGGGATTTACTTTTTTTTCATCTTTCAATTTTTAATTGAGTGGTGGAGATATTTAGGAAAATAAATAAATAAATAAATTGAGCGGTGGAGATTTAAATTCTCTACCGTTCTCTTTCCTGAAGGGAACTGAATAATCATAGTCTTTGACAGGTGAAAGGACTTTACTGTGGTGCGACATCTTCTTTTGTGGGGATGGCCTTTGAAAGTTCACTTCTTTTTGGCATTTATTCCCAAACAAAACAAGCGCTACAGGTTTGAATGTGAATCTGTTTGCTGATTTAATTTTTATAACATCGATCTGCAGCAACTGCTACTTCTGGCAGAGGCAGGCTTTAGCTTCTGCAGCTTTATTTCTTGCATCTGCTATGTAGTTATGATTTTCTTGTTTGCTGGTGAAGGGAGGACTTCAAAGTGGTAAGCCACAACCCCAAATAATAATTCCTTCGGCTGCTTTTGGTGGAGCTATTATCAGTTTTGTACTCTGTCCATCGGAGCTGGTGAAGGTAAGATGTTGTTTGATAAAACAAAAGTACTGAACATTTTAATAGCTAAATTTAAGTGCTACTATAAATTTAGTATTTTTTTGATATTTGTTTGAGTTTTAAGTGTTCAATGTTAAATGTTAAACGGAAGTCTCCTTCAGTTGGAATTTATTATTATGAGTGGTATCTAAATTGTGTTATCAAACAGACTTAACTCAAACAAACATTTAATTTATTCAAAATTAAGTGCTAAATTGATTTATCAAACATCACCCAAGTGAATCAGACACTACACTGTTGCTTCTTGCATCATCCTTGTGACACTGAGCTTCTCCAGTGCAGGATGCAAGTTCAAGGGACTGACTCTTTGGTTCCAATGTCCAGTAGATACAGTGGTCCTGTCGATTGTGCCCTTAAAACTATGAAAGCTGAAGGGGTAAGAAAATCTTTGCTTCCTATCAATTATGCATCTGATACGGTTTTGAGCCAACAGATTACTTTTCCAGGTTACAGGCATTTTTCGAGGTGGTTTCACAACCTTATTAAGAGAATCTATTGGAAGTGCAGTCTTCTTTAGCACTTATGAGTACACTCGTCATTACATGTATTTACGATTGAAAGATGCTTCAACCGTCGAGAGCAACTTGATCGATGTTGGAGTTGGGATTATGACTGGTGGTCTTAGTGGTATAGCAGTAAGTTCTTTTTCTTTTATCTTTTTTTCTTCTTCTTCTTCTTCTTCTTCATTTTTTTTTTTTTTAGATAGAAAAAAGAAAAGGCAGTAAAATGTTGTGATTACTTATAGCATATCCTGTAAGAAAAAAGATTACATTTCACCTGTTTTAAAATGCTCCATTCGTCCTTCCTACACTTTCAATTTGTATGTGCGCTTTAACCCTCTTCCCCTCAATTTACTGCTTCTAGTTCTGGTCTGCTGTTCTGCCCTTGGATGTGGCAAAAACCAAAATCCAGACTTCTCCAGATAGATATTCTACTAGAGATCCGTTTCGGGTTTTGAAATCGGTAAAATATCCTTGTCTCATATATATTTTAAGACATGAATGCATTTCCCTGACAAGAAACTGGAGAAAAAAATTGCCATAGAGGCTTATTGGGTCTATTGTGATAGATTTACAGGAGGTCTGGACTCAAAGGATGCTATACAGGGTTAGGTCCTACAATAGTGAGAGCATTTCCTGCTAATGCAGCTGCGATTGTCACCTGGGAATTAGCTGTCAAAATTTTGGGAATCAAGCGTGACTAAAAATGGTTTGCCATTTAATTACCCAGAGCTATACTTTGTCGTCCTACCTTTTGGCATATGCAATAGTGGCGCTTTATCCTCATAATTCTTTTCACATGTCCAGACTGTGATATTACTAGAACTGATAGACTGATACAAAGCTCTGCATGATTCTCGTGACACAAACAGAGCCCCAGCAGTCTACTTTGTAATCAACATTGGTGCTCCTGACCCATTTTCAATGTTTAAGTTTTTTACTTAACTTCTTGCTGCTGCTCCTTTTTTCGTATCTGTTAATCCCCGCTGTAAGGAGGATTGATGAATCATTTTCAGTTTGGTTAAAGAATTTGCTTAAGCATATTTTTCAAGTTCAGTGGGCTTAGACATAGAATTATTATGGTGTTGATCAACTGCTCCAGCTTTCATAGGTTGGACATATCTGTAGTAGAGGAATTTTATTGTTATCCTTATGCATGATTATGATTATTCATAAAGATCGCCAATATGGCTTATTCCTTGCAAATTTGATTTGTTAATGCAGCATTTTTTTTTTCTAGCTGCACTATTTGTAGAAATTAGAATCTTGAGAGAGAATGCTTTAATTATCTCTCCCATGTTTGTCAAATCATGTATAATTTTCTCACTGTTCTCTTATCACATCTCATATCAAGAATAACCACTATGTATGATCTCAGTAACTACACTTTAGCTTTAACTGTTGGTTGTCTTTATTTAATCTTTAGTGTAAATATCTTCCACGTGAGTGATTGAATTTCTCTATTGGAATCAAGTTGGCTTCTCCAAGAAATATCGATTATAATATATATTTCTAATTTACTTATTAATTATCAGAGGGTCAATTATAGTAGACCTAGACAACTAGGTCCACTACCCATCCATTTCTCCTGTCATGCCGTCCAGATTCCAAACCAAACCGCACAGGTCTTTTTCACCTTCGGATTAATGTTATTGATGGGAGAAAGGATTGAAACCTTAAGGCTTTGAGATAGAGTTGCGCAAGTTCCACTAAACTAGACATAGAGGGGGAGAATAGGTCTTGTAGGAAATGATTAACCGATTTTAATGATTTTGCAAATTTAAAACTACTTTTAACAGAAATTTAATTTTAGAATATAGCAGAAAGTAAGCAGGTGTACACCTTCTGGCAAAGATTGTTAAAAAGCTAACAATCCACAATAAAAATAAGTAATTAAAACATAAAACAATGGACACCAGAATTTAACGTGGAAAACCCTAAGCAAGGAAAAAGCACGGAATCTAATCTAGGCAAATCAAATCCACTGTATAAGACCTAATCCAATGTTTGAAGTATTCAATCTGTATTTGCAATCTTGCACATATGATGTGGGACCTTTGGAGTTTTGCACTATTATAAGAACAGTCAAGGTTAAGGTTTTGATGTAGGAAGGTTGGGGATTGATTGGATGCAGTTTTAGGGAAAATGAAAGAAAGGTTTTGGGTTTGTTCCTATGCTGTGAAGAGTATACTGTGAACAGTAGTACTTGCAGAAAAAGATAAAATAGAATCTAGGTATTACTCCTAGGTTTTAGTTTCATCACACAATCCAAAAGGGCTCAAAATTAGTCTTTATTGAATTTACATAAGTATAGGCTGCTAGACAACTCCTACACCAGTTAGGATTGTAGAAACTTAAGACTGACTGACAAAACTCATCTAAACATAATACATACCATATAATATGACCCAATAACATAACATGAGGCAAACTAAGACCATGGGGCACCAGCATAGCCCCCAAAAAAGTTCTATAAATTACAAAAACAACTTGGTCCTAAAACATTGCAGAACTTATATAAAATTCAAGCAATGACAAACAAACTTGTATAAAATTCAAGCAACAACAAATAAACTCATAGAAAATGTCAACTCAACTCAATTATGCAAGGTCCACGCATACTTAAATTGTACCAGATAAAGAGCTTAGGCCTTGAAAGCCTCTTTCCGTGCCTTTTATATACTTTTAAAGGATGCTGGCACTCGTCTCCATTAACATCCCTATGGGGATGTCTTTTTGGGTTAAATCCTCATATATGGAATAAGCATCAATGAGCATGGTGTTCTCTGTCACTCTTTCAATGTGGACAATGGAATGGTTATGTGAGCTGAGTTCATAAATGGTATACGACATGTGTAAGGCAATGGATAGAAGTGATAATGTATTCAGAGATTATTTCGCTGCCTACAATGGATTGATTGGATGGGATATACGAAGTCTTGACATTCTGTGCCAAAAAGCATGTCATGCATAGAACATGGATGGAAAGGTAGACTTCTTTAGTTCAATTGGACCTTCTTGCGTTACATGAACTGTGGAAAGCAACGATCGATCGGATATTTTTGCTTACCCATGGTTGGAGCACGCAGACCTAGTGAAAGGAAAATTATTTGTGTCAAGAGGTGCCTAAATGAACTTTCAGCATGGAAGGAAACACTCGATATGTTCTTGTAGCATAGATGAAAATAGGGGTGCATGTGGGAGGTGATACTCTTGATGGCATGACAATTGGTGCCTTGGAATCTTTTATCTTGACTAATTTTAATGAAAGGCTAAATGCGGTTTGGAAAAATCTTCAATGGATTTAAAAGCTCGCTGCAGATTTCTGGTACGCATATTTCTTTTCCTTTTCTTTTTATTCTTTTATATGTTTTTTGTTATTGATGATCGAAGGTTTATTGCCATGTCTTTAATCATCATCATCCTTGCTTTTGTCCCATATGAATGGGGCCAACCTATTTTTATGTCTTTAATAGTGTTCTACTATAAAATTTTAAGTTAATGTTCTTTTTCATATCTTACTCTACTGTCATATGTTTTCATGTCTTTCTGGGGTTGTATGCCTGTTTGGTTGGCATTATTGAACTTTGTGAATTGGCAGTGTAAAGAAAAAGTGGAAATGATACTCCCATGAAAAAGAAAGAAAAAGGGAAAAAAGAGACATTCATGCTTTAGTAAATAGTGCTCAAATGTGCTGAATGAATTTTACCAACTAGTAAGCTATTTAGAATGGTTATTAAATACCACATATTATGCTAACAAGTGACACATAATGTTCAAATTCAACTACAAGAAAAAGATAATAAGAAACAAAATAAACAAATCCCTACTTTATATCAATTATAAATTGAAGTACTATGGGTTGAGTCAAGATCTTAAATTTATAAATATGTAGATTGGCTAAAATTTGTTCTTTAAATTTAATAGGAAATTCAAGCCATTAACTATTCATTTCCAGTAAATCATATCTTACCCATTGAAAGATCAATTACCCAACATGGTGAAATACATTTATGATAGGTTTGTTTAGAATTCCAAACAACTTGTAAATTGGTTTTGAGCATTCCGGAGCCAGTTGGTACTTTTCCATGAACTGCCAAATGATGATGAACTGAAAGGCTAATGCTAGATATGTTTAGCCAAATTATAGAAAACAAACACTTAAAGGACAATGAGAGGTTTAGAACTTAAAATAGGTGTTGTGGGACAAGATCTATTAACAAAATCCATCTTCCCCCCCCCCCCCCCCCCCCCCCCCCCCAACACACACGCACGCACAAAAAAAAAAAAAAAAACGGTTTTAGGGCCTTGCACTGACTCTAAATCAAAGCCTAGGGTAAAGGCCATAGTTTGTATGGACAACATTTATGGATTTGGTGAGAGAACTGAGCCTCAACCTTCGCTGAAACTGCATTCTACCTCTAGCTCTTACCTCTCAAAGTATTGATGTTAATATCATTTTTTTTCCTAAGAAAATTAATATGGTACGAGTGTATGATAAGTCACAGACAAAAATCACTAACGGATTGAAAAAGAACTACAGACCAATCCATATGGAGTACATATATGCCTTCAATCACCATCACCAGAACACAGTACCGAAATAAATGGTCAAAGTGCTTTTATGCTGTCTGGTTTGTTATACGTACAATACTTGACTACGTAGAACTAAAAAACAACAAGAAGAAATCCAAGGATTGACAGAAGAGAGAGAGCATGCTGGTGATCACAAAGTTAAATCTCGGCTGATAAGTAAAATGCTAGCTGGAGGCATTTCCTGAGAGAGTTATCTGAATATTCCTTTTCATTCGTAATTGGTTTGCCTTCAGCTGAGTCATTTCCTTCTCAGCTTGACCCTTCCCCATGAGAATCATATGAACTTCTGCGGCGACGCGCATTGTGTCCAGCCAACCGTCTTCGGCAACTCCTTTTAGCTTCATCGAACTCCAATAGTTCGTGGAACCTGCAGAGGGTGCATCTTTTCATAAAGACACAGTACAGAGTGAATAAGGGAATAATTCTTCCTCGTCTTCTTATTCTAGTTCATCTAATCCCATTATGTTTCTCTTCTACATAAAAATGAAATATGGTTTGCTTCTATTTTTAGTAAATAAATACTTGAAACCAACTGATGATATGAACTGGGGAAAAACACGTTTTAATTTAATTCAACTATACTATAAGAAAGTTAGAGCTCTAAAATCAGAAATGAAAGACTGTGGATCACTTTCACAATGAAAATTCCATCTTTAATTGACAGCACACACCCCCCACCCCAACAAAAGAAAACCTCAACAATTTGATAAGAATAAACATCGCTATTATGAGGGATCCTGGACAACAACCCCTAACCCATCCCTTTGAAGTTAAAGGGAAAAAATAATAGGATGGAGTCAGTTTCACATGACAGCTACAGTATGTTTAGGTGTCCTATGAAAATGATCCTGTTCTAGTTTTTTGAGATCAGTTGAAGTAGTCTGTTCTCACCCAGCCTCTACAAGAAAATGGCTTCATCACCATAGTTATGTGACTGAAATGCTGGACCTCGTTATCCCATTGCAATTAAATATGATCCACCGGCAACTAGTATCAACAAAGTTCAAGTACTATGAACAAAACCAGATCATTATAAAATACTTTGTAAAACATAATGAAATAATTCTATTTCCAGTAGGTGCCTAGCGTAAGGCTTCATTCAAGTAGCCATCATTTGTTACATTATGAGTTTAATCTAATTAATTAATTCGAATTATGTATTGGAATGATTGAACTAGAGCTGCCGATATCTTGTTTTGATTTGTTGAGCAAGTAGATTCCACTTTTGAGTTATATTTTTGGATGAGTTGTGGTTATATCAACAAATGTTAGTTGTAATTGCCTATTTAATGTTTAAAGATTAATTATTCATCTAAAAAATGAATATTAATGATGTTAAAGTAAGGATTCTATTGACCTGATCCAAGTAAATAATCTATCCTTTCTTATACAGTATTTCTTTTACTTTCGAGTGTGTGCATCATGGTAGAAACTGTAAACAATTTTATATTTTTATATTAATATGGTGTATTATCAATGCTTTAGCAAATAAGTATAATTCTGTTGCTTCGTGGAATGATGAAAAGTTAAATTCAATTAGCACCTGTCATTTATCTTAATCACAACTGAGAAACCATCAAACTGAGCACATTCATAGTCTGAAAAATTTATTGATAGGGAATTCAAGAGAGAGAGAGAGAGGAAGGTGCAAACTAGAATTATTAGGGTTTCCCAACCTGCTGCATTGCTGACAGAAACGCTGCCGGAGTCCGGCAACTACTACAGCTGTAGCCTTAGCATGAATCTCACATACCTTGTGCCGACGGTGGTACCTTTTGGCATCAGTCATGTCGGTAGTGCAATTCTCCACCTGACAACAAGGCTGGGTTGATCCACCTCCTCCAGATACTTTCTTACTGGATAGAGTCGATTGATTTTTCTGTTTGCCGGCCTCTCCAAACCCTAACCCAACATTATCTTCCTCATCTTCCTCCTCTTCTGACCCCACCTCTTCCTTCATCTTATTTTTCGTGCTCCTCTCCCCTACAGCTTTGCTTGTTTCCATTTCTTGGAACAACAAAGGAAAGTTAGGAGAGAATATTATAGACAGGAAGAAGAAAGTGAAACCTTAAGAGAAAGGTGAACAAGAAGAGTGTGAGGACCACAAAGCTCCATTCCTTTTCTTTCAATATTAAAGGGAATAATGAAGGGAAATAAGATAGATTAAAGATGAGCTCAAAGACTCCAGTTTATAGGTGTATAGTAAAACAGGAGCAATAGTACATATCACAGCCACTCTTGTAATAATACATATCACAGTTGCTCTTCTCTTTTTTATTATTATTATTATTATTATTATTATTTTTTAACTTTATTTTAACTTTCACATGATATGATATCCCATAACATGATAATTGTGATAGAAAGAGTAGTTATAAAGAACGTTTGGTATACTCGCTTCCTTCTTAAAGCTAAGGTATCTTTACAGTTACCGCCACAACTTTGGCTTGAGAAGTACGTCCTTCACCTCCTCAAATGGGAGGTTAAGGGTTCAAGCCCCAGTGGAGGCATGTGTGTGTAGGTATACTTGCCTATTTTAAAAAAAAATTAAAAAATTAAAAAGAAGAAGAAAAAAAGGGTATCTTTATAGCTTTCATGAAGTTTGTTGTTGCATCTCATTTATTCTTTAACCCTCTTAAGGGATCTTTATAGTGCATCCACACAGCTAGGCTGCTAGAAAGCTTGTCACCATGAATCAATGACAACATTAGAATATAATAGGCAAATTAAACGAGTTCTAATCACCATCACCATTCCCTTGGTTGTTAACCTCCTCTCCCCTTGTGTGTTTGTGTGTGTATTTTTTTTAGGGTATATTGCCAAAGGCATTACCATGACAATTGCCAGAAATCACCATAACTCTGTAACTATCACCATTTTGCATTTGTGCACCCAGTTCTGAACAATTTTAGATTTCATGTGATCTGCTTGCTTAGTGAGGAAAAGGAGGAGATGCTGTAAAAGGGATCATTCTCTCTTTTTTTTTGGGATCATTCTCGTGTTTTTATTTTATTTTTCAGGAGAAGAGTATGACTGGTATGAGAGAAGTAAAGGAAAAAATTTCAGGGTTACATGTCATTTTTGTTTCAAAATCTTTTATTGTTAAGATTTTTCAATTTTTGATTTAATTTTAGCAAAATATGAGGGGACCACTTTTTATTTGTTCTATGTTTTTTCCTCAAATTTTTTCTTCTCTCATCTTCTCCCACTAAATCTGCTAATCAAAGAATTTCTCTTAGAACAAAGATCTTATTATGTAAAAACGGCCTTTGACTAACATTATTCCTGCCAAATTGTTCAGGGCCTCTCTCTACACACCAATACATATATGCATATGCATAGTGCATACATTAATACATATAATTATGTTTAAAGAAGCGCATACAATATATATCATAGTTGGTAGTCCTTGTCTTGAAAGGGACGAGTCTTGTATTTTAGGTGGATGATTGATGACTGAAAGGTGAGAACCATTTATGATTCAATAATTTGGACCACTTTTGCTTCAACAGATATCAAGTGTCTCTTTACTGTACGAGTCGTTGCCCATTTTCTCTGTCCTCCTCCCCACATTTGCTTTCACACTGTATTTAATTGGTTTGCATCAAAGTGGCCACCGAATGTGATACCAGCTACGACATTCATCATGGCATTGGCCCATATCAGGTACCATTACCATATGGTTTGGTCCCCCATTGTACGAGGACAGCTCTTTGGCTAATGGCCATGTAATTAACTTCGAATCCTCTTTTACTACAACTTTTCTGTCTCCTTTTAGTAAAATGTATTCACAATTTAAGTTAAGGATTTGTGTGATTGATGTGCGTGCGTGTATATATGTTGTAACTGTAAGAAAATTCTATTTACCTTGCAGAATGCATTACATTACATGATTTGAAGAAGTGTTGTGATTAAATGATCTTTTGTCATTCTGGTTTAGGTTAGGTTAGTGTGTCATTTTGTGGACCAAAGTAGTAGGGTTAATAATTCAAATCCAGGGATCCGAATCCCCTCCTGTGTGTGCTATTACATCGCTTGTGCAACATACTACAGTCGTAGATTCGTAGCGCAACAGATACATATCATTTTTGCAAAGTGCTGTACATAGTAGTTGGCACATAAGTTGCGGCACAAGAGAGGATTGGGATGGCAATTAATTTGCTGGTACTACCCCTCGCGGAGTCAACATGCAACCACACTAGAATAAGTATATACACTGTTGTATAATCCATCTTTTTGAAAGGGGTCATAGACCAAATACTATTCATTCTTCATTTTGTTACTAAGTGTCTTGCTGGCCTGTAGTTTATAGGGCTGTAGAACTAGTCTGGGCTTAGTATGCTGTTGAGAATACATTAAAGAGGCCTGGGCTTGAAAGCTCAACTGCAGGTAGACCCAACAAAAAGTGGTTATCGGATCAACATACATACATATATATATATATACATATATATATTGCGCCGTAGATGTTCAATAGGTTTTAGAGAAGTTTAATCCAGGAGAAGAACTTTAGCAGTCGTTAGGAACGTATTTGAATGTACTTACCAAAAGGCCATCCGGTGATAGATGGATGGTAGATTCATAATATTTGCTGTTCCTTTTCATGAGAGCGCTGCCTATATTTACACCACTTTTTTTTTGTTTGGTAAATGTACATGTATGCTGTTTGTATACGCTTACAAAATTTACAAGTGTGTATGTCTATATATATATATTTATATGTATGTATACAGACATACATATATATACATACATACATATGCACACACACACACACACACACACACACACATATATATATATATTGTTAAGGCCATATCGGGATTTGACTATAGTAATAATATTTCGGTCTACTAAGTACAAAAAATTGGCAAATGACCACCAACTTGGATTCAAATATGGAATAAGACAACCACATGGCACATGCAGTCCCTTCATCCAACATTCACCGGGCAATTATCGAAAAAAGTGGCCTCAAACAAACAATTCTTAATCACATTATCGAAAAAAGTGGCCTCAAACAAACAATTCTTAATCACAAATATGAGGAACATTGCCAAAGATGACCGTTGGCCAATGGGTATTGTACAAATGTCACATGGGCTGTTTCTAGCCCCGTTCTTATTGTAAAATGATTCACAGTAAATCATCCATCGTCAAGACCACAAAACCTTATTATGGGCTTATAAAGGCAGGGCTCTCTTAATTTTCGTAAACAAAAAAAAATGGTTGTAATTAATGGATTTCGGACTAAGCAGCATGAATACGGTATACAATATAGGAGTAGTAGTTAATTTTGTTTTCTTTTAATTTTTATATCATTTTTCTAACTCACTCATAATATATTTTAGATTGCATTGAATTCAATTATTTTTATTAAAAGAAAAAAAAAATCAATCATAAAATCACGGAAAGTGTCAAAAACAGATTGCTAACATGATACCAGAAAATAAAATATTCACTATTTAATGATTTCCGAATATTCAATACACCATAAGAAAAATATAGTTTCTTCCACGATTTTGGATTTCCAATAACGATACTGAATGTTATCTAACAAATCATCATATTGAGAGGTCATGAATACAAATGACCAAGGTTTGGCAACTATTCAAGGCCCTCAAACAAGAACCCGGTTCGTCTTTGGTGCTCTTTTCAGCGTGCTGAGGCGGTCCCACCAGCCAGGTGGGCCTGTTGATAGGGTGACTGTCGACGGGAGAGGTTCCCAACGCCTTAAGCAAATACCTAGCAAGTTTATGTTGAAACTTGAAATACAAGTTAATAGTGAAGTGAATTTAATGTGTGAAAGCTAGTCAATACAAGACCAAACAAAATTAAACAAACATCCCTTTTAGGAATTTATGTAGGTCTTAATTATATAATTATACATTCTGTTATAAATAAAAAGCACTTTAACATTTAGACAGACAGCTTAGGATAGAATGACCCCTTTCACAACCATTATCATTTCTATCAATTTTTTCATTCTAACACAATCATGATGATGATATATAGTATATAGTACATAAAAACTTGTCCACCAATATGATATAGTACATAAAAGATTTCATTAAAATATCCTAATAAAAAAGACACAGCAATCTCCCCAACATTCCGAGGGCCCACGGGACATGAGGTACAAGAAATTCCATAAGCAATACCTTTCAACCCTCGAGCTTGCTATTTCTACTCATCACTTCCGCCATCATAACGGAAGCGGAACGAGGCTTCCAAAACAAATAAAAGGTCCCTCCAACTCCTCCCAGTAGTTCTTCTTTGCTTTTGTGATTATTTTATATTTTAAATCAAACCAAAGAAATCTTTCACAATCCTGTAGCAGTATTACTTCACCACCACTCCTGGAAAATGCCAAAGGCCTGAAAGCATCCGATGGATAACTGCTAATCTCCGTTGGTAAAACAGAAAATAATCTAGTCCAAGATTCCTTAATTCCATACTCCTTCGTCACCCACAATTCAACACGAAAGCTGTGAATATGGCAGAGTACACAAAGCCATTCTCCTAGAACCACCACATTCATTTCAAAACTCTTATCAGAATAATCAGGCTGTGGCACCAGCCGATATTCCTCAACCCCAAGATCAAAAGCAGCAATCAAATTGGCCCTATCCGAATAGGGTTTTCGACACACAAGCCAGTGCAAAGCCCCATTAGCAAGTGTAGCATTTCTATCATAGAGAAGGTAACAAGGAAGAGCTTGAATTCTTCGCCAAGTATTTGACTTCAGATTACAAACCTTGACTTCAGAGTCAAATGAATCACCATCGTCCTTAGAGTAATACTCTACTATTCTCACCACCTTGTAGTCATCACTGACACCATCATACCCAAACCCGTATATTGTATCAGAACTGCTCCAATGTTTGCGTGAGAACTCAATCGGTGTGACCGGTAATTTGTGGTGTTTTCTGGTGGACGGATTCCACGGGCAATGTCTTTTGGCGATTTATACAAACAGAGCAAGCCATCACAACAACCAATCACTTTAGTCTTTTCCTCATTCTTCAACGGGTGGTAAAGGTGAAGATCTAGCTCCTCCACCTCCTCCTCCTCATCATCATCATCTGAGGGAGAGTCCAAGTCTATGGAGAAGAGGTCGAAATCACTGAAAATCAGCCTGCGATTGGAGTTGGTTTTGATGGATTGATTTAGATGCGATTTGATGAAATGTGGGTCGTCGATCAGAGCACACCATGATTTCGATACACATCTGAACCGCAGAAGGGGTTTCACTGGTAATCTTGATAGTATGTCGGCGACTACTTGCAACGGAATTTCTGACATTTTTGGCTGCTCTTTATGGTTTATATGTATCTAGAGTCAACAAAGGTTTGGTTCAACAAAGCAAGAAGTGAGATCTGATTCATAACCGAGAGAGAGAGAGAGAGAGACATTTCTTATAAACCCAAGCTACAGTAACACCAATTTATTCACACAAATATAGATTTGCATGATATCAAATGAAAAACAAGAATAGATATACAATTCCAAATTAAGCTATTTCAGGAACTATAGAGATATAAAATCATATCTATGTATATATCTTGAACTGGCAAATTTATACAGCTTTCCTTTAGGAGAGAAGATATTGAGGGCAACCTCAGTGTCGCAGAAAACTGAAAGCTCCAATGCTTTCTTTGGTTCAACAAAGCAAGAAGTGAGATCTGATTCATAACCGAGAGAGAGAGAGAGAGAGAGAGATTTCTTATAAACCCAAGCTACAGTAACACCAATTTATTCACACAAATATAGATTTGCATGATATCAAATGAAAAACAAGAATAGATATACAATTCCAAATTAAGCTATTTCAGGAACTATAGAGATATAAAATCATATCTATGTATATATCTTGAACTGGCAAATTTATACAGCTTTCCTTTAGGAGAGAAGATATTGAGGGCAACCTCAGTGTCGCAGAAAACTGAAAGCTCCAATGCTTTCTTTAGCAGCACATTTCGGCGCTTGGAGAAAGTCACTTGCATGCTTGTATCGTTCTCTATAGTTAGACCTCAAAAAAATTGGGTGCAGTGAATTTTACTGCGGGGGGTTGGTATAGTCAATTTTACAAAGGACAAATTGCTCTTGAACAAAGGTGAGACAAAAGGGCAAACTGACTAGCATTTTTTAGACCTTTTTTTTTTTAATCACTTTTTGTCATTTTGACCACCAATGACTCATCAGTTTACTTTTTAAACAAGAACCCAAATCTACTAGTTATATATATGAAATTAATGAAACATTCAAACTTCCATACAACATAACATGAATATTTAGGGAAGATTTACTGGTCAATAAATCAATCAAACTGTATTAAGTATTAACATTCCATCCTTGTATGGCAGTCCGAAAAATGATAATCCTATCATCTAGGAAGCACGGAAGCACGGACACAGACATATCAGATTCCAAAAAATGGACACGGATACAGCCCAGATATGGCTGTGAAATAATAGTATAATATATTAATAACAAGTTGAGCAAAATCCACAATACCATAGTAACCATACCATGCAGCTAACAAAAAAAAAAATACTACATTACACAAATACTTCAATTGACACAAATACCTTTTTTTTTACTAGTTGGGTACTCACACACACATGCCTCCATGGAGGCTCGAAGCCCTGACCTCTCTTTGAGAAGTAGGGGCTTGGTAGCTAGGCCACTGGCCTGGTGGTTATTGACACAAATACTTTAATTCATCATTCAAGCAATTAAGAACCAAACAAAATTATAACCAGAAATAGATAAATAGGTTAAAATAAATTTCCAACATGTTCAAAATTATCATTCATAACATAAAACATATAAGTTCAATAACAAAAAAAACCTCCAACATCTTCATCTTTCATCATTGATCAGACAAGTTTAGTAACAAAACACACAAGATGATTATATATCAATCAGATATCAGATTCCAGTATCTGTGTGTATATATCAGTATATGTTAACAGTATATGTTAATATATATTTTTGCCCCAAGGAGGGTTTAGAAATGGCCAAAACCGTGCACAACAATGCCCGGACTCTAAAGAATTTAAGAGCCTGCTCATTAAAGTTGCAATCCAACACACAAAGAAGACATATACATATCCATATACACATGCATAGAGAAAAAATTACAGAATATCAAGTATCGAGTATTTGAGTGAAGTGAGAGACGGTTAAAGAAGTGGAGAGGGGATTTGAGAGAGAAAAAAAAATACATACCTGGTGGAGTCGCCGATAGTAGACATCAGATAGAAAAAGAGTCGCCGGAGAGAATATTCGCCGGTGTGGGCAGTGGCGCAGGATTTGGGAATTTTGGGGCTAGGGCACGTCGCGTACGTGAAAGATGAATGCGTTTGGCTCTATGTTTTTTTATTAGTCCAAAAGGAAGTTCCCTTCTGGTAATTGTGACTCATAATTTATGACTTCCAGTTGTTACCGAGTCATATTCTTTAGGAGAAGTAATTTTTTTCGAACATTCTAGTTTAAACTTTTCTTTTGCGAAATAATACTAATAATAATAATAATAATAAATAAACTTTTAAAATTGGAAAATGGTGTAATTGACAATCTGAATCCGGATTGGGAAAATTTGATGCTTAAAATAACGGATATAGGGATTATAATTTTTCTAATTAGCTCAATATTATAATTTTTCTAAACAAGGTCCACTAAATAAAATTTCAATTTATTAAGATTAATTCATATATCTAAATAATTATTAATTAATACATTTTTAGAAGACATTAAATGGTCATTAACTAATTTTAATTTAAAATATCATTAATTAAAACTTTCTTAGTGTGTGTGTCATATATATCTCATGGAGTGGATCAAATTACGGATTACATATTATGAATCGGATTTTTAACATTTCAATATGTAATCTAATTGGTAAATTACGAATTGCATATAGTTGAATCCATTACCAATGTGTGAATTTGATAATTCAATTGGATTGCACGGATTGGATGGAACTCGCGAATTTACAGATGAAATGCCCTCTCCTAATACAATTGACCTCATGACAATTAATTATGGGAGGCGATATTCGTACTCCACTTTTTAACATTAACACTACAATCTTATATGAAATGACAATTCTAACCTTAATTTTACAAGTAAATAATTATTACTTTTTAAATGACACAACTGTCATTTTCATATTTTCTTTTCTTATCTCTAATATCTTTTAATAACACAAATAAAATAAAATAAAAGTTGAATAACTCTTTTTTAAGGGACCAAAATAAATAAAATATTGTTATATTGAATAAATTGCCTCTTTTGGCTGCATAAAAAATATAAAAAGTAACCATTTAAAAAATTATATTTTTTGACATGAAGAAAAAAAAAACCCTAAAAATTATATTTATTGAATAAATTATCTCTATTGTCAAGATCCCAAAAAAAATAATAATAATAAAAAATACAAGAAGATGATTATAAAGTTTTTTTATATCTATTGAATAAAATATATTTTTTGATAAGACTCAAAAAAAAAAGAAAAAAAGAAAAAAAATTATGGAGTAAATTATTTCTTTTGACAAGACCCATTACCAAAAAATAAAGTTACCTCTTTTGAAAAAATTGAAAAAAAATCAATTTTGTTGAATAAATATCTCTTTAGATTGTACAATTTTTTTTTTAAATAAATAAAAAATAAAATAAAATCACTATGTAATAAATTATCCCTTTTAATGGCCAAAAATAAAATTATTAGTATAGAATAAATTATTTTCTTTGAGAGGACCTTCGGAAAAAACAAAAAGAAAGGGGGAAAAAAAACAGTAAAGAAAGTAAAGAAGGTTAAAAAAAAAAAAAAATTAAAGTTGTATAAAGGGTAATTATGATATTATAAATTAAAGAATTATGTATTAATGAATTCAAGGATTTTCTTATCATTTTCTTTTATAAAAATAGAGTGCGAATATTGTCTCCCTTAATTATTAACATAAATATTTTAAAAAAAATTATATTCTTTTTAAAGTTACCAAAAGTCCTTATTAAACTTTATTTATTTGTTTTTTAGCATTAACGTTTAAAATTACATTGGTTAATCCATTTAATTTTTAAAAAAATATATATATAATAAAATCTACTATGAGTTGTATACTTCTATTTGAAGAAAAGTTATTGGGTACTTGGTTATTGAATATCCCTCAATTAATCAAAATTTCACGTTTGATTATGAATACTGGATTGAATTCGAGCTTCGGACTTGAGTGTCCGTGCCGAATACCGAACCACGAAAAAATATTTAGTACTCCAAAGTGGGCGGTTATGTAACATTTCTAACAACCTCATGTATCATTTAATTGTAAAATATAACAAATTAGTATTGGCCAGGTACCATTTTTCTGATAACCACTGCGCCAAATTTGTGGAAATGTGTTAGTTTCCTTAGGCAATGGACTATATCCTCTTTTGTAAGCAGGTCATGTTGTACCTATATTGTATAGTAAATTACACCGTTTAAGGCAAGTTTTTTAAAAAGGTAATTTAAAGTTTGAAATAAAATTTCCCAATGGTGTTAATAGTAAATTGTCAAAAAAATTAAAAAAAATTAGATTCGGATATATATATTTATATATATGTATATAAATTGTCAAAAAAATTAAAAAAAATTAGATTCGGATATATATATATATATATATATATATATATATATATATATATATATATATAAATTAAGAGATTAAATAATTTTTTTATACATTATGGAAATCAATTCTGAAAATAATCACATTAGAATGATCATGGTAAAAGACATTTATATAAATTAATATATATATATATATACACACACACACACAAAATTGAATTCAAACTTATAAGTTAAAACACACAAAGTGTTACCAATAGGAAAAATAGAAAAATTAACAGACCTGCATTAACCACGTAATTGGATTGAAAAATATAACTATTGCTTTTGGAAGCATGGCATTCGTAACTTCGATTTGAAATTGGAAAAAATATTTCAATCTATCGATTCAGTGCTCCAAAATATAACAAAAGTGATTTGTAATAGTTGAACCCAATTAAAGTTATTTATAAACTTTTAATCTTATTCTCAACACCTTCAATATTTATCTTAACATATTTTAATATTTTTATTGGCACCTTTTTAATCTTTTTCTCAATTCTAAAATTTTTTCTTAACATATTTTAATCATGTTTTCAATACATTTAATCTTCTTCTCAACACATTTAATCTTGTTTTCAATATATTTTAATCTTATTTTTAACATCCTTAATCTTTACTTCAACGCTTTTTAATCTTGTTTTCAATCTTAGATATGAGTTATCTGAAAAAATAATAATAAATGAATAAATCATGGTTCAAATTGATTGATTTATGTATTTATTAATCTTTTTTAGATTAGTCAGATTTGAGGTTGAGAAAAAAATTATAAGGCATAACAGACATGCATCAACAACATAATTGGATTGAAAAACATAAATATTGCTTTGTAAGCACGATATTCGTAGCTTCGATTTGAAATTGAAAGAAATCTTTCAATCTATCGGTTTTGTGCTCCCAAACATAACAAAAGTGATTTGTACTAATTGAACCCAATTAAAATTATTTATAAACTTTTAATCTTATTCTCAACACCTTTAATATTTATCTCAACACATTTTAATCTTCTTTTCGGCATCTTTTAATCTTTTTTTCAACTCTAAATTTTTTTCTCAATTTATTATACGACATGAATATAGCATGACCAGGGGCGGAGCCAGGATTTTAGTTCAAAGGGGGCACAATGCACTTGTTGGAAAAAAAAAATAATAATAAATATGACAAATAGGAAGTATAATTTTTTTAAATAAAAAAGGCAAATAAGAAAAAAATAGCTGTAAAATAATATGCTAAATAAATACTGTAAAAAAAATATAGTTACAAATATAAGAATCAAAATATTAATTAATAATATTTTAATTAAATACAATCACAAATGTCATCGATAAAAGAAATAAGTTAAAAAATAGAAAAATACATAATTATACACAAGTAAAAAAAGAATTTTTTTGAAAAAAAAAATAAAAAATAAAAAATAGAAAATAAAAAATATATTGTATACTTGAAGAAGGGATATATATATATATAACTTCTTTTTTTTTTCAAAAGGAAATTAGAAGAATTTGAAATTTTGAAGGGGGACAATATTTAAAATTACCATAAAAATATATGTATATACCAAAAATATGTACTTATATATAGTAGGTTGGAGCAAAGTGAGGGGGGGACGTTCCCCCGCTGGGCCTTAATTGGCTCCGCCCTTGAGCATGACCCGCTTAATCTTAGTCCTTTGTACAAATTTCTCTGTTTTTAGCCCGGTAAAAGGATTAGCTTCGTATTATCCTCGAAATACCAATTCAGGAACCAACATAATTTCAATCAAATTATCATAGAAAACAGCAAATCCATATTATGGACTGCATAATTTTTGTCTATATTTGGCGGCAGGCAATTTGAATTTAAAATTAAAAAAAATTTAATACAAATTTTAAACTAAATTTATTTCAATTCCAAATTTAAAACACCAACCAATACAATTTTCCCGAACATAATGGATTTCGGAATTCTTAAAGGACCTGTTGTTTGAAAAATTACAAATAAGTCCTATAAATTTTTTACAAAGATAAAAGAAGTCGTACTTTTGAAAAATATAATAAGTTCAGATTTCATAAATGAATTTTTATTTTTATTTTTTATTTTTTTTTCTTGTCAGTATTGCCCTTTATTTCTAAATTTCCATTAGTGCCTTTTTTTTCCCACTAAAAGACAAATTCTCTCTAATTCCAATATTTTGAAACTAATTCCAATTTCAAAAAATATTACTCCTAATTGTTATCAAAATTAATAATCCGAAAACACTTAACAAATCATTTCAATTCAATTTCCATAAATGCACGCAAGTTAAAATACAATGAAATACTTTTGGTGCATTACCTTTATGAATAATATAATTAATTATATTTCATGATTTATGAATTTTCTGTTTCATATTTCTTTGAAAAAAAAAACTCAAGAAACAAAAATAAATTCTATAAATTTGAAACAATGTTATATAAAAATATATTAATACAATCAATAAAACATACTTAAATTATTTATTTTCACTAAAATTTAAGCAGAATTGTTTGGATAATTTTTTTTTTTCCACCTTAGTTTGTGTCCTTCAAGTCACGGTATGGCGCTGCAATTGCTTCTTCCACATACCACAATCCACAGACTGGATTATGGATCAAGCTCCCGAGCCTCATGATATGCTTACTGGTCTTTCTTTTCTTCATCATTCATGCGATGGATGTGGTTATTGTTGCGTGTGTTCTTCTTCCAATTTTAATCTGTAAATATTCTTCTTCTTCTTCTCATTGGTATTACTCGTACAATGTTAATGTTGAAATACAAGTTTGGAAGTTACTAGTGGAGTGAATTTAAGTGATGTAAGCACGTCAATACAAAGAGCAAACAAAATTAAACAAAGTTCACCTTAGGAATTTATATATATATATATATATTTAAATTTTACATATTAACAGAACATATAATTATATAATTAACTTAGATAAAGTCCTAAGGATATATATATATATATATATATATATATATATATATATAAAACATGTAGACAGCTTAGGATAGAATGACCCTTTCCACAACCATTATCATTTCTATCAAATTTTCATTCTAACATGACGATGATATAGTATTATCACCTATAAACGAGACCACCAATACAAGAATTGAACTCTCTCACTCTCTTCTTGTGTGATCGTGTGTTTGTGTATGTAAAAGGTTTCATTAAAAAATCCTAACAGAAAATACTGAACAATTTCCCCCACATTCTGAGGGCCACACGGGACATGAGGTACCAGAAATTCCATAAGCAATGATAGTCCATAACTTTTAACCCTCAAGCTTGCTGCTTCTCATCACTTCCACCATCATCACGGAAGTGGAACAAGGCTTCCAAAATAAATAAATACTCCCTCGATCTTCTCCCAGTCGACCTTAATTTCTTTTGTGATTGTTTTCATTTTTAAATCATACCAAACAAACTTTTGAGCATCCTGTAGCAGTATCACCTCCACACCACTCCTGGAAAAAGCCAAAGGCCTCGCAATACTGAACGGACTAATGTTAATCTCCAGTGGAGAAACAGAAAATAATCTAGTCCAAGATTCCTTAACCCCATATTCCTTCATTACCCACAAATCGCAAATGCTGGAAGAGTGGCAAATTACACAAAGCCATCCTTCTAGAACACCCACATCCATTTCAAACATCTTATTGGAATAATCAGGCCGCGGCACCAGACGATATTCCTCAACCCCAAGGTCAAAAGCAGCAATCGACACCTGATCCGTCTCCCACACAGCCCAGTGCAAAGCACCATTAGCGAATGTAGCATTTCTCCAGCTGTACAAGAGGTAATAAGGGAAAGCTTGGATTCTTCGCCACGTATTCAACTTCAGACTATAAACCTTGACTTCAGAGTCAAATAAGTCAAATGAACCAACATCGTCTTCAGAGGAATACACTGTTATTCTCACCACCTTGTAGTCATCACTGACGCTATCATACCCAAACCCATATCTGGTATCATCACAGCTCCAACGATCACGTGAGAACTCAATCGGTGTGACCGGTAACTTGTGGTGTTTTTTGGTGGAAGGATTCCACAGGGCAATGTCTGTCGGCGATTTACGCAAACAGAGCAACCCATCACAACTGCCAATCACTATAGTGTCTTCCTGATTCTTCAACGGGTGGTCAAGTTCTAGCTCATCATCATTGGGAGAGTCCAAGTCTACGGAGAAGAGGTCGAAATCACTTAAAATGAGCATGCGATTGGTGTTGGTTTTGATGGATTGATTTAGATGCGATTTGATGAAATGTGGGCTATCGATCAGAGCACACCATGATTTCGATACGCATCTAAACTGCAGAAGGGGTTTCACCAGTAATCTTGATAGTATGTCGGCGATTAGTTCCAACGGAATTTCAGACATTGTTGGCGTCTCTTTAGGGTTTATATGTGTCTAGAGTCAACAAAGCAATAAGTGAGATCTGATTCATAACTGAGAGGGACCCAATTCTTACAAACCCTAGCTACGGTGAAAAAAATAATACATAACACCAATTTATAAACACACAAGTATATATATCTGCATGATATCAAATCAAAAACAAGAATACTAATACAATTTCAAATTAAGCTCTTTCAAGAGCTACTGAGATATAGAATCATATATATGTATATACCTTGAATAATACATAACACCAATTTATAAACACACAAATATATATATCAGCATGATATCAAATCAAAAACAAGAATACAAATAGAATTTCAAATTAAGCTCTTTCAAGAGCTACTGAGATATAGAATCATATATATGTATATACCTTGAATTGGCGAATTCACAGAGCTTTCCTCTAGGAGAGAAGATGAGACCAACCTCGGCGTCAACCAAAAGCTCAAATGCTTTCTTTAGCAGCCCATTTTGCTGCTTGGAGAAAGTCATTTGCTTGCTTGTGGCATTCTCTATAGTTGGCCCTCAAAAAAATTGGGTACAGTGAATTTTACAAAATCCTCAAAAAAAGAAAAAAGAAAAAAGTATATGGTATAGTCAATTTTACAAATGGCAAAGTGCCTTTGAACAAAGGTGAGACAAAAGGGCAAACTCCGACTTGCACTTTTAGACATTTCTAGTCAGTTTTTGTCATTTTGACCAGCAATGACTAATCGGTTCACTTTTTAAACAAGGACCCAAATACTAGTCATATATATGAAATTAATGAAACATTCAAACTTCCATACAACATGACATGGAAATTTAGGGGAGAGTTACTGGTCAATAAATCAAAATGATAATTATCATCTAGGAAGCACGGACACTGGTACGGCATGAAATGCCCATGGTGGCAAGGCAAATTCTAAAAACACACGGGAATAATAGTCAGGGGCGGCGAGTTAGGCGGTTTCCTAAGGCACCATCTAATGAGAAGGTCCCATAATTTTTTATTTCTTTATATATTATAATTTTCCTAAAATAATTATAGTATTTTCTTTAATTATTAAACTTTAACGTATAAAGAAATTTGACAGTTGACCTAAAAGATTTCTATTCTTTTTTTTTTTTTTTTGAGGGGCCCCCCAAAATTTTTTCTTTATATATCATAACTTACCTAAATATTTTATTTTCTTATATTATTAAACCTCAACAAATACAAAGTGTATCCAAAATATTTTTATTCTTGTATTATTATATATATATATTTTTGCTCTCTCTCACCCTCATTACATCAGATATACACACACTAAATATTAAATATATATTTAAGTGAAAATTGGTGAAACTTTCTATATTTTTCTAAGACTCCTATTAACTTTTATTTTCTCTTTTTTTCTTACTCCTTATATATTTTTTCTCCTCTCTCATTATAAATTTTTTTTTTTTTTTTCATCTTCTCCACGTTTACAATCTCACTGTATAATAAGATTTTGAATACACTTATATTCTATTAAAGAAATTATTAAAGTATTATACCAAATTATTCGAAATCAGTTTCTATTATTCTATAACTTAAATTAGTTTATAGTTTTATTAATTTTTGTTATCATAAAATTATATATTTTGTTTATAATTTTTATTTATATTGTTAGATGTGACTATTAAAAAGCATACGGCCAATTAATTAACAATGGAACTAGAGTTTGGAAAAAATTTAGTGATAGGTTTAAAAATCGCAAAACAAATAATTAGCATAATACTGACATAAATATATGGGTAGATTTAATTAAAAGGCCACTTTATTTTTTTTGCCTAAGGCCTCAAATAACATTGAGCCGCCCCTGATAATAGTATAATATATTATACTATATATTCAACAAGTTAAGCAAAATCCACAATACCATAAAGCTAACAAAAACAAAAGACTACATTACAAACATACTTCAATTCTTCATTCAAGCAATTAAGACCCAAACAAAATTATAAACAAAAATAGACAAATAAGTTTGAATAAATTTCCAACATGTTCAACATTCATCATTCACAACATATAAGCCATAAGTTTAGTAACCAAACACACAACGTTACTATATATCAATCAGATATCAGTTACCAGCATAAATTATATATCTATTTTCAAGATGATTATTACTATCTGTGCGTGTATATGTTAATATATATATTTGCCTCGAGGAGGATTTAGAAATTGCCAAAACCGTGCACCAATTGGAAAAAAAAAAAAAAAGAAACGTACTTGGTGAATTTGCCGATAGTAGACACTGGAGAGAGAAACCTGGTGGATTCGCCGATAGTAGACACCGGAGAGAGAGACCTGGTGGATTCGCCGGAAAGAGGCAGTGGCGCAGGATTTGGGAATTTGGGGCTAGGGCGCGTGAAAGAAGAATATGTCCCAGCAAACTATAACAAAGAAGGGAAATTGACAAAGAGCTTCCAAAAAAACAAAAAAGGAATTCAATGGAAAAGGACCAAAAAACCCTCCAAATGCTAAGGGTTGGGCTGCTATAAAAAAAAAACTAGGACTATAGCAAGACCAATGTAAACCCAAGCAAATCCCTTAAATGGAAGGAATTAATAATATATTTCTCTTACCTCTCACTCAAATTATTATTTTTTAAAATAGCAAAATTAATTTTTTATATATTTCTTTTGGGTAAGCAATTAATAATTATATTTATTATTCCTAATAGCATACTGATGTTCAACCATCATGCAAAGCATTTTCTCGAGGCAAATTTTGAGAAGGTGTAAAAGTGCTTAAAAAAAAAAAAAGGCCATTATTGTCACATCCCTTTAGTTTTTTTTTTTGGGTATTTAAAAAAAATCCAAATTACAAAAATAGAGCATTTAAAGGCATGTATAATGTTGGTGTTATTAAACTATGTACATTTTAAATGTGTTGTATTGCATTGGAAGAATTTCTAACACTTGCAAAAGCAAATTTCTAACACTTGTGAAAGCCAATTTGAGAGCTAGAACACAAAAGTGATAAAATTAAATAAAATTTGTGGGTACGAAGGAGTATGGAGTTCAGGAAAAGAAAACTTGGATATTTGTTGCATGGACAGCCTAGCCCGCAAAAAACTACCTATGAAAAGTAAAAGAACTTCCGTGGTCACATGATTATCAAATGCAAATTGTTAACTAAAGAGAAAGAACTATCATATCAAAATAAAAATCAAATTTTATTGATTCCCTGCACCAACCCATTTTTTGTTCCACCACATCAAATGCCATATAAACTTCTCAAAACAATTACGCTAGTGTGATAAATTGATCAAAATTCACACATAAAAGAAATACAAAATTTACAAGACATAAGAGTGACAGTACAACCTTTTTTTATTTACCAACCAATAATAAAAACCTTTAGTAATAGAAGCAAAAATAATGCAGCTAGACTCAAATACAAAGTTCAAGTTCACAGTTTCAAAGCATAGTATTTAGTTTTCTGTACTCAAAATAATGAGGCCATACTCAAAGTTCAATGTCACAACCACACCAAAAACCCGAGAAAGGATATGGGAGATTTCAGCTTGAAGAACTTGTCTCTTTTCATCAACATTCGAAAAAAAAAAACTGTCTCTTCATCCAATCACTTCAGGGCTTCCCATTTTAGACAAAACTCAACCACAACAACTTTGGGATATTCAAGATATATTATTCTCCTTGGGATTGATTTCACTTTTCTTTGGCATGTTTTCTGGATCCCCTGATTGCAATAGATGTATTCAACTTCCATAGCTAAATAGCCTGTACATAAAAAGAAGAAAAATACACAATGTTAGCAAGAAAAACAACATAAAAGAATTTTCCTTAGAAAATAAAATTAGATAAAATTTTCGATTTTGCATTTTCAATCCTTATTCTGAGTGGGTTTTCTTTGATGCATGTTCGAATAACAAGTGAGTTCTTTGAAACCGTTGTATAAATTTACCATGCTCCATGGAAATCGAATGAGCTAGGCATCCTTACTGGAACAAACCCAATAACATTCTTGTAGAAATTGGTGGATTTTTCAACTGATCTCACACTAGCGAAATGTGGTCCAAAGAAGTCAGGTGCAAAGGGCCGTTTCCCATGTTTTCCTTAATTTTTTTGAAGAAAACTCAAATACAAATAAAAAAAGATTTGCTCGAATATTGGGACAAAATAAAATAAGTCAGAAGAAGAATGAGGAGAAAGATCAGTTTCAAAACCTAGTTAATATAAAAAGGAATTTCCAATTACAATTGAGTCATCAACCACATCAAAAACCTAAGAAAGGATGAGAAAGAACTAGGGAAAAAAAAAAAGGAAGGATGAGAAAGATTTCAACTTGAAGAATTCATCGGGAACTTTTGCAGCGAAAGGCTAAGCAACCCTTTGTCTACGGTAGCCCAATCACACAAAAGACTCTTGTGAACTAGCTCTGGCAGTCAGCCTTTTATTACATCTCCAATGCAGTATATAAACAATTCTCAGTTCTTACTCCTTATCGCATTAGTTATGGATTATATTCCCGATATTTTTATCCAATCACTTCGGGGCTTCCCAGTTAAGACAAAAATGTAATTACATCCCCGGTTAAGACAAAACATAATTACAAATTTGGGTTATAAGCCACATAAAAAACCCACCACAACAGAAGAAAAAGAACAGGAGGATCGTTACTAGAGGACTCATTTGTCGATCTCAAGTAATTCAGGGATCTCCATGATACTCACTAGAGAGTGCTTCCATCCTGCTGCTCATTAGAAATTCATTTCAGGGACTACAAAGTAACAGGACTACAAGGAGCCAACACCGACTCTTTTCTATTTTCTTTTTCACAGCAACCAAACAGATAAATTGATCTTATTAGATTTCAAAAGTTACTTAAAATCTATGGAGGCAAATCCTTACACTCTGAACTACTTGTAGAAAATTAGGCCTTTTATGCTAATTCAAACAAAGAGCTGAAAGACTGTTTTATAATGTGCATGCGTGAGACGAAAAGGAAAAGAGGGTCAAGGTGGTTCTGTTATAGTAGAGATCGGCCAAACCACAAAAGACCAACAGCTTTGTGATGTTGATGCGTCCCAGTTGAGATATTTGAGATGCGTCTTGATTTGGTTCCAAGTTGTCTCTGGTCTTAAGGTGAATGTTGGTAAGAGCGTTCTTGTGCCTGTTGGGGATGTCCCTGAGATCGAGATGTTTACTCAGATTCTTGGATGTCGCACTGGCTCTTTTCCCATTTCTTATTTAGGGTTGCCTTTGGGAGCCCCTTCGAGATGTGTGGGGAGCTGGGATCCGGTTGTGGATAGATTCGAGAGGAGGTTGACGGGTTGGAAAAAGCAGTACCTCTCAAAGGGGGGTCGGGTTACTCTGATTAAGAGCACCCTTTCTAGCCTCCCCACTTATTTCATCTCTCTCTTCTAGATGTTTGACCCTATTTTGCATGTGCATCTCTACAAGTATTCTTCAAAATTCCACTAAAAGCTAGAACCCTTGCAAACCAAAATGACAAATACACCAATCAACCAAAAACTATGGCTACCATGTTATATCACATAAAACTCACATTTTCTTACAGAACCCAACAATTAAAGCATTGTTAATCCTATTTAACAATTAACACAATCAATAACGTCTTCAAATTCAAGAAGGGCACTTTCATTTTAACTAACTAAAGTCTATAGATAGTTGAACAAATTTGATAGCAGCAAATAGAAGTTTTAGAAGAAGTCATTATAATGTTGTTCCCAGAATTGCGGAAGCAAATTGAACTTCACATACTTAATTATGGATAAAAATGGGTTCAAAGACCATTATATCAGACAACCAAATGCCAATAAAAAAAACCTTCAAATATTAAAGTACTTCACTTATAGATTTTTTTTTTTTTAAAAAAAAAAAAAAAAAAAAAATCTATTTACATGTATAAGAAAGTTTTCAACCCATATCTAAAGTAGAATTTTCCACCAAACCAAGTCTACCAAAATCTTTCAACCACATCAGTAAACAAGACAATAACTCTGTCGGATAAAAAATATGCAGTAGGCACAGCTAGAGTGCTTAAATGATTATACAACATTCAGACTTAAGGTATTATTTCAGTTGAAATATTATTATTATATATATATGTTTTGTGTTCATATGAACTATATGTGTATACATACATACATATGCATCAGGGTCATTTATATGTATATATATCACATATACAGAGGGAGAAAGAGTAACCTGAAGAAGTAGAACTGATAGAGAGTGGATCTACTATGGAGTCACTATTTTGCTAACCGAAGCCAAATTTGTTCAAAGATTCAATCAATGTTAGATTTGAGACCCACTGCAATGTCTTATTGAAGCCTAGAGACCAAAACTCTAGAATACAAAAAAAAAAAGAAAAAAAGAAAAAAAGAGAAGAGTTACGAGTCTTAAACAAGCTTCTTTATTCACTGTGCTATGAATGTAGGGCTTGATTGCAACTGTTTATGATGAATTGGTATTACTCATTATCGTGATGTTTGGCCATTGATGCTCCTTAGTTAATATTGAAATACACTTTTGCAAGTTACTAGCGAATGGAATTTAAGTGATGTAAGCACATCAATGCAAGAGCAAACAAAATTAAACAAAATCACTTTAGGAATTTATGTACGTCTTAATTATATATTCCATTAATATATAAAAATCAATATACCATGTAGACAGCTTAGGATAGAATGACCCTTTTCACAACCATTATCATTTCTATCAAATTTTCATTCTAACAACATCACGATGATATAGTATTATCACATATAATTATAAACAAGTCCACCAATACAAGGATGGGACACTCTCACTCTCTCCTTGTGTGATTGGTGTTTGTATATGTAAAAGATTTCATTAAAATATCCTAACAGAAAATACTTAACAATTTCCCCAACATTCCGAGGGCCACACAGGACATGAAGTACCAGAAATTCCATAAGCAATAGTCCATACCTTTTAACCTTCAAGCTTGCTGCTTCTAATCACTTCCACCATCATCACCGAAGCGGAACAAGACTACCAAAACAAACAAAAAGTCCATCGATCTCCGCCTGGTAGACCTTAATTTCTTTTGTGATTGTTTTCATTTTTAAATCATACCAAACAAACCTTTCACCACCCTGTAGCAGTATTACTTCCCCACCACTCCTGGAAAAAGCCAAAGGCCTCACAATATCGAACGGACTAAAGCTGATCTTCGGCATTGAAACAGAAAATAATCTAGTCCAAGATTCCTTAACTCCATACTCCTTCATCACCCACAAATCGCAAAAGCTGTGATAGTGGCAAAGTACACAAAGCCATCCTCCTAGAACTGCCACATTCATTTTAAACTCCTTATCAGAATAATCAGGCTGTGCCACCAACCGATATTCCTCAACCCCAAGATCTAAAGCAGCAATCAATTTGGTGCTATCTGACTCACACCCAACCCAGTGCAAAGCTCCATTAGTGAATATAGCATTCCTCCCCCTGTACAGAAGATAATAAGGGAAAGCTTGAATTCTTCGCCACCTATTCGACTTCAGACTATACACCTCCACTTCAGAGTCAAATGAATCAACATCGTCTTCAAAGTGATACAATGTTATTTTCACCACCTTGTAGTCATCACTGACACTGTCATACCCAAACCCGTATCTGCTATCGTCACTCCTCCAACCTTTGCGTGAGAACTCAATCGGTGTGACCGGTAACTTGTGGTGTTTTCTGGTGGAAGGATTCCAGAGGGTAATGTCTTTCCACGATTCACACAAACAGAGCAAGCCATCACAACTTCCGATCACTATTGTGGCTTCCTCATTCTTCAACGGGTGGTCAAGAGCTAGCCAATCATCATCGGGAGAGTCCAAGTCTATGGAGAAGAGGTCGAAATCACTGAAAATGAGCCTGCGATTGGTGTTGGTTTCGATGGATCGATTTAGATGCGATTTGATGAAATGTGGGCTGTCGATCAGAGCACACCATGATTTCGATACGCATCTGAACTGCAGAAGGGGTTTCACCGGTAATCTTGATAGTATGTCGGCGATTACTTCCAACGGAATTGCTACCATTTTTGGGCTTCTCTTTAGGGTTTTTATGTATCTAGGTCAACATAAATTTGGTTCAACAAAGTAAGAAGTGAGATCTGATGCATAACCTAGAGAGGGTGTTCTTATAAACCCTAGCTACGGTGTAAAATATAAAAATAATATATAACGCCAATGTACACACAAATATATATTTGAATGATATAAAAATTAAAAACAAGAATAAAAATTCAATTCCAAATCACTTATCAACATATATATATATATACACACACACAATTCCAAATTAAGCTATTTCAGGAACTATAGAGATATAGAATCTCACACATATATATGTGCATATACCTTGTACTGGCAAATTTATAGAGCTTTACTCTAGGAGAGAAGATGATGAGAGCGGCGTCGCAGAGAAGAATAGAACTGAAAGCTCAAATACTTTCTTTAGCAGCCCATTTCGGCGCTTGGAGAAAACCACTTGCCTGATTGGAATTAAAATGAAATTCTATTTACATGTTTGGAACAATTGGATTTAAAATGGAATTTTGAATAAAAATAATATAATATTATTTTTACTCTTATTTAAATAATAAATGAAATATTTATTTTATGGTTAAATATAATCCACCTTACATCAAGAAGACAAATAACATGAATGATTATATGATGAAACTCTGAAACATGAAATTTATTAAAAAAAATTATTATTATTATTTATTATTTTTATATATATAAAAAAACACCTAATTTATTCAACAACTATCACCAGCATACTTAAAAAGTAAACTAAGCCTACGGAAACGTGCAGCCATTTTTCAAGACAGTTAAATTTTACGCAACTTATCCGGGCACCCAAAAAATCCTTCAGCTACAAAGGGATTCGAAATAAGAAAGTCATAAGCAGAAAAAAGGAAGGTATTATCAACTTCGTATATCTTCTTTAATTATGAAAATATTTTTGCACCAGAATAAAATCGATGTGTACCTTTCTCAACCACAATATTAGATCTGTCAAATGCATTTGCAATTTGAGTCAGTGAGTCAGTAATGACACTAATATTTTGGTTCAGCTCATCATATTTTGAAATATTTCTTTTACTTTTACTACCATTCGAGGAAGATGCAGACGCAAAAGGCGCCAATGTAATTCGTGACTGTCGAACACTTATACATTCAATTTCTTCTAAATTCTCGAGATTGATCTCATTTCTTGCAACCATTGTTGGAAAAATAAATACTTAATGTGACTTTTAAGATAGAACAACCATTATACTAATATGTCATGAGATAATTAACAATATGCTAATAAATCATTAATTAAATATGCAACTCTATATTTAATTAAATATGCAAAATAAAGCAATAAAATAATAATAATATGCAAGGAATGAACCTGGACCGAGGCTAGTATTGGATACTATGTCCTTAAGATAGATTCGCCTCGCTATGGTGCTAATGGACTCAGTGGCGTCTATCTCCCAATATACAACGGTCTACATCCACCAGTAGTAGCACTACAAACTCGTGGATACGGCGAACCTCCTCCGTGTAATACTCTCTCTGACTCAAAAATGCATTTATATACTATATAAATGCTGAATTGGGTGTAATCCGAACCAAATGGTTCGGACCAATCTTAATATGGTTCGATGAAATTGGATTAGGGTCGAAGTGGCTCGAACCACTTAACCTATGGTTTGAACCCACTTGGTTTAGGTTCCAGTCTAGAGAGGGAGATAGAAGAAAATGAAAATGAATGAATTGCAAATGATCCAAAGGAGGGTATTTATAGAAACAGATATACCTTTTCGGATTGGGTGTATCTCTTCATTATTGGACACAACCATTGCAATAGGTTGCAATGGTTCACATAGTGTCTGTTCACCACTAGACACATCTATTCCAAAAGGTTGCAATGGTTCACATGGTGTCTGTTCACCAATAGACACATCCATTTTTAAAGGTTGCAATGGTTCACATGGTGTCTTTTCGAGTAGGTACAACCATGGGTTATGATGATTCGGAAAAAGGTGTAACCCTTTGAAAAAAAAACTAAAAAGTGGTTTTTTAATTTAAAAGGTGTAACCCTTTAGAAAAACTAAAATATGGTTTTTTAATTTAAAAGGTGTAACCTTTTAGAAAAACTAAAAAGTAGTTTTTTTAATTCAAAAAGCCAACCACCCACAAAACCCACTCATTTGGGAAACCCATTTAAATAAGTCCAGCCCAAAATTAGGCCCAATCCAAAATTCCAAAAAAGAATAATCTGGACTTTACAATTAGGCCCAAGCCCAAGCCCAAGCCCAAGCCCAAATCATAAACTCAGCTTATTTAAATTTCAATTTGTTTCAACATTTTTTCCATGTGGGACAAACACTTCCCACATTTTGCATTCTCATTTAGGCTTATCAAAACACCACACTTTGGAGCTAATTTCTCATTCATTCGGAAACGGATTTCAGAAAGTAAATATACCACATTCATCTTCTTACGGAGAGAAACGCGTTTGTCTAGAGATCCGTAAAAAATTATTAACGGAATCTATTTCAAATCTCATCCAAAGTTTATGTTTTTAATGCCCCCGTTTCCAACAATCCCCCACATGAATGGAAATTTGCGTAAAATGCAAAAGATGATCATGCAGACACTAGAGAGAGTATAGTCGAAAGTTACTGCATCAGGATAGGTGGCTTTTGGCTTTGAACCTTCCCTAGTGTATTGCTATCGGATTTACTGGCTAACCAGTGAACGTGATGTCTTGAACTGTTCAGCCGTTTGTGTAAACCAAGACAATAACAAACACACAGTAGCTTTCCTCACAAAGTTGGTTCTCATTGTTGTGTTCATTTTGGCCCTGAACAAGTCCTGGTATTCAATGAGTGCTCTAGAAAACTTAGCCTTTATAGTTCTTATAGAAGCGGCCCCACTTCACACTCATATAGGTGACTTCTTATTAAGAGTATCCTACCAAACCCCACTTGAATTTTCAAGGTATAAGAGTCATTAAAAGCGTAGCTTATCCTGATCATCGCTGTAGGTAGCACTGTCTCATCATAGAAATGGGTAGAAGATTTATATCTTCCTAGTGCTTCTGGTGAGTCACTCAGAATTTCTGTTGTCCCTTTGAACCTAGATCTTGGCATCTCCAGTCAACTAGGTTGGGTTTCCATTAAGGTGACTCGTTAGCTTTCGGCTTTAAACCCCATTCCCCTCGATGAACTGTACAATTACTCTCTAGTACAACCTTCAATTTTATATGTGGCCACAAGGTTGCGTTTAGAAATATTACACTCTGCAGAGATTTCTCCAGGTGAGAGCAACTGTATACTTTGTGCCCTAAAATTGCTTATTGTTAGCAATATCATTTTCTTTAGTGGCACAGGTGTAGACTTACTTTGAATTGTCCTCTAGGTGAAATCTATTGATTTCCCTATTTGATTTATTCAAAGTTTCTAACTTTGAGTTATATTAAGAACATAGAACTACACCTTTAATATAAAAGACATATCCACTATTGGATTTGAAGTCTTTAATATCCCATATCCAGATTGCATCACTGTTACACCTCCAATTTAGTTGGATACCTCGATCTATGCAATATTGGATTTAGAGTATATCTCAACTACCCAATTTATTATTTTTTAGTGATCCGATCCTGGATTGAAAATGTGCAATTAAATACAGTTATTAAGATGCCTTGCAATCTCAACCAATGATATACTTCGGCTAGTATTTATATTTGTCATTTACATCTACAAAAGTTAGCTAGGCTTTTGTTATCATAACTAGTATTATCTCAATCTCACTCTATTGAGAATATACTATGTTATTAGATGTTAAATCTTTCATATCAAATATACTAATTAGTGTATCATTAATTTTTCAAGGCATACAATGACTTATGCATCACATTTATGTCATTGTCTTGGTACCAGCTTTAATCCACTCAAGGACTTATAAGATAGCACACTTTACTCTTCAACTAGAACAAATAATTTAACTCTTCCGCTGGAAAAAGAACTCTTCTAGTTGTTCCATAATATTTTCCTCATATGAAATAACGTGCACTATTGTTATAATACTATAAATGAATTTTGTTCTATCCAAAATCTCTTAGGATTAAGAACCTTACATTTATAAGTATTTCTTATCTGGTGAGGTAACTCATAGCAAATTTCATCTATGGACAAAATCTCCCCACAACTTTGGAATAATCTTGAAATTTTATATATGATATATTTCTTATGGTTTTCCAACTCTTGAAATACTATATATTAAATATTTCATCTCATCTATCTTTCCAAGGTTCTATATTCGCTTCTCAACAAGCATGTATAATAATCTCTAGTGCATAAGTATTTACTTTATCTCTGACTTGTTCTTATAATATGTCACTGACGTTACTGTCTAGAGATATTAATTACAATGGGCTCTAATTAATATTTGCTTCTACATCTCTTGTATTTATGAATTGAGTTATTTATGTTTAGGTTCATGTTAAGTCAGTCATATTAACATGTCATAACCTTTCATATGTCATACATTACATAACTCAATCATTTAATCAAATAATTATCTTATTATTTAAGTTTTTGATACAATCACCACAGAGTGAGCACTCACTTCTCAAATATTATTACACACTATTCTCATATCTCACTACTAGGTTATGATGAGCACCCATTTTTCAGTTATTACCGCTAGCTTGAAGTTAAGTTTGTTTAGCTAGCAATTCTAGTAGCTCATACCTTTAGTACACACTTATCTAAGTGGTCTATCTTGGTAGTAGAGTAATTTGTTTTGAAAAATATTCTTCAAAAACTACTACTTTACAAGTAGTATTATTCCCTTCTACATGAGCTGCTATGATGTATAACTCAAATAGCTTATGGCTAAAATGGCTACTCATCACCCTCATATATACTTTTTTTACTATCAAGTTAAGAGCTAGAGCCAACTGACAGTTTTTCATCTTCCTCTTAGGTTCTGTGTACCTCATTAATCATTTTAGCTTATACCTAAGCTAACTAGTTTGCAACTCAATAACATTTTAGTTTTTAGCTAAATTGTATATTAGAGCTAACTAGCTTGATTTAGCTTGTCTTGGTGTACTTGCTTAGTGTATTCATAACATTTTCCATTAAATTCTTTCGAGGTATTGGAAAATTTTCTCTGATTCAGCCCATTTACAGCTATACGTGTCTTAAACACTAGTATAGATCGTTTTCCTTTGACTATTAAAAGAGTTGACATAGTTGGACTAGTCCATTCATACAAAATTCAATAATATCACATATTAAATAAATTATGTTGTAAATTTGAATTACAATACACATTAAGTAATTCAACTACATAGTTCAATATTATAGTATCAAATGAAAGTAAACATTTAGAAAAATAATATTAAACTTGCATAACAATATAGTTTCATATTATATCACATGATTAATTATATCACATAATTAATATAAGAAATAATAATAATCAAGAGAAGAATTTGCT